GTCATGTTTAGGAAAGTCCATCTTGAAACCACAATGCTAAGTGAAATAAATCAGACCCAAGACTAAATATTGCGTGCTTTCTCTTACATGAGAAACCCCAAATACAAATAATCTAAAAAGCAGAACTGAAGTTAGATGACAGGAAACAGGGAGCTAAAAGTGTGGAGATGAGAGGGGACCTGCGATGCAAGGACGGCGGAAGCAAGGGGAAAAGCAAAAGTGATTAAGACGCAGCACCCATGCGCCCATCTGGACTGCGTTTAGTGTCTGTCCCAAACTCACACTAATAAAAAGGGGAAGCAGTAGAGCTGGGGGAGGGAAGGGAGTGCAGGTGGCCCAGCAGGTGTGCATGCACTGACCCGCCGCAGGGAGCCCGCTCACACGCAGAGCCCAGGCTCCAAGGAAGAGGATTGAGGCAATGGAGTGCGGGCCTCACACCGCAGGGCACAGGGATCAGCACCTAGCTGAGCCTACCAAGACAGCGGCACCAAAGCAGTCTTAAGTGTCTCATACATGCCAAGGCGTCCCAGACCAACACACACTCCCGGAAGGATGCAGACTCACCAAAGCCAGCAATGTCCAGGACCCCGATAAAATAGGAGGACGTCTCGAAAGGGAAACACTGATTCACTCTGTTCACCACATGGTCGAAGAGATGGCTGTAGACAGTCTTGGCCAGCGCGTCTCGGGCATTGTTTGCTTGCTCCACCTTCAGAGGGACCCTGGAAGAAAGGAAGAGGAGACCCTGCCAGAGTGTGCTGCGCGGAGCCAGATGCCCTGGGCCAGACTCTCAGAGCCCAGAGCCTCGGAGCACACTCCTGAGACCCTCAGACCCCAGGGCCATGAGACCAGCACAGCGGAGGGGGCTGAGGAGAAAGCCGAGAAGGCCCGCAGGCACTTGCTGCACCCAGGGCTGAACTCTACTGGGGGCGAACTGGCTGCAGGCTTTAGGCTTCACTCTCCACGCTGACCACGAGAAAATTACTTAGAGCAATGATCTTCTCTTTGACTTTCTTGAATGCAAAAGAAACTTTAATTCAAGATGACTTTAATTTTAATAGTTTATTAGCTTGTTTAGGGAAAAGTTCTTATCTTAGAATCTGAGCTGCCTGACTCCACCACATAACTAGGGCCACGGCACAACGTATCGGGCTTGCAGAGACAGCTACACAGCTCTTCCTCAAGGAAAAGGAGTCTCGTGAGCAGAGACTGGGACGGAGAATTGTGAACTCCCAGGCTGTGGCACCCTGAAAAGCACAGCCTGGGCAGGGGGCCTAAAAGAAAAAGGCGGGTCTGATTTTTGTTTCAAGGGGCATAAAGAGGATTATTAGGCAGAATTGAAAACACAAGTTTGAATACTGAGATTCCCATGTCATCCCAGAAAGAACGGCTTTCATCAAGAAATCAACCAATGACAAATGCTGGAGGGGCTGCAGGGAAAGGAGCCCTTCTCCACTGTTGGTGGGCATGCAGGCCGGTGCAACCACTGTGGAAATCAGTGTGGGCACCCTCAGAACGCTGGGGCTGGAGGGCCTTCCACCCAGCTGGTCCCCTCCTGGGGCTCTTTCCAGAAGAGTTCAATGCGCCTTACCCTAGAGACACATGCACACCCTTACCACAGCAGCACAGCCTTATCCTGGCTGCCCACCAACAGATGAATGAAAAATGAAAATGTGGTATTCATAGACATGGAGTACTGCGTGGCTATAAGGCAGAATCGACCTGAGTCATTTGTAGGTAAACAAATGCACCTTAAGCCCATAATTTTAGAAATAAATCAGGCACACAAGGTTGAATAGCACACTTTTTCCTGTGTAAGAGACCTAACATGCATAAAGGCCAAACAGGACAGGTACTTGGAAGTAGGAAGAACGAGCTCGTGCAATGGGGGAGGGGGGCAGGGGAGGGAAAACAGAGACGGCTGTCGGGGGGAAGGAAGGAAGGAAGGCTGAAGGGAGGGGAGAGAAGAGCCCTAGGACACAAACACCTACAAGCTCCTCACACTGAACATGATCAGTGTGCATGGTAAATATGTACTAAAAAAATAATTACAGGGCTGGCCAAATAGCTCAGCAGATTAAAGTGGTTGCAAGCAGACGTGAGGGCCAGGGGTTCAATCCCCGGGCCTGCTGTGCCAGCGCCCCGGGCACACTGAAGCAGCAATTGAGACTGGGTGTGGTGGTGCCCACCTGTAATCCCAGCTCTTGGGAGGCTGTAAACAGGCGGATCAGTACAAGTCTGATCTAGTAGTGAGACCCTGAACATCCTGTAGAGCCCTCCCTAAAATACAAAAATAATAATAATAGTAATAGTAATAATAATAATAAAAAGAAATTACACCAAGTTTAAAAATAAAAATAGAAAACATGCTTGAAATAGAGTGTGGGCCCTCCAGAGAGGGGTGCTATGGCCTGGAATGGGGGGTATTTCTATGCTGGAGGGCAGAACTCTGTGGACTCTGTCAACCTAGAGTCTGAACTGGCTCCACAGGAGAAAATCAAGGCCAGCGGAAAATCAAGAAAGACCAGGCGTGTCCTTTCACATGTGCCGGGACACCCTACTGTGGAGGAGAAGCAGGCGCCAGCTCACTGTCTTCCTTGAGGCCAAGGTTCTGCCCAAACAGTCAGAGTTGGAGCCATTCTTACAGCTCAGTGAGCTCAGCCCCGTACTGAGCGCCGCTACACTGTGCCTTTCGCTGCCCACAGCAGAAGCTTTTCTGGAGTGAGCTTCACGTGGCCATCCCGTTGGAAACCCTAAGAACTGCCTGGGAAGAAGTGGGAATCTGTGGGCGCTCCTAGCCCTCCGGGCCTTGGCTAGGGTCAGGCAAAGGCAGGCCTCTCTCAGCCACATGGGAAACGGCCTCCTGTTCCCAGGGGCTCAGACGAGGGGTGCAGAGGGCCCCACTGAACCCCCACGGCTCCAAGCCCCACCAGGCCCACTGCCGGGCATCAGCGAGAGGGAGCCGAAACCAAGCAGGTGGGCGCAGTGGGAGGGAGCGAGCGGGTAACCCGAGGCCCGAGAGCCGAGGCTGGGCAGAGACCTGAGAGCCGAGACCCGAGAGCCAAGGCCGGGAGGAGACAGGGCCAGCTGGTGCTTCCCCCGGCCGCCTCCAGGCCCTACGCTTCCCCCTCCAGGCCCTTCCCTCGTGACAACCCCCCAAGCCTGAGCAGTGGAGCTGGTTGTCCACTTCCTGAAATCTCTAAAGGGAAGAATCTTTCCTTCAAGTTATTTTCCTGAGGTATTTGGTCACAGAGCTGAAAAATGAGTAACTCGTGTACTGTTCTCTAAACTCCCTACAGAGCTTTTCTTTATGATAATAATTTAGAATAGAAAAAAAATCAGGCTAAGCATACCTTCCTAATGTCTCTAAAAGTATAAGAGGTAGCAAAACTTTTTATTTGCTGAAAACTTTTAAAAAATCTTTAGTTAGGTGAGGAGGCACGCATATAGGAGGCTGAGGCAGGAGTACTGATTTAGAAATTAAAGGCTCTCCTGAGAAACCTAACCAGGCTCACTCTCTTAATAGATAAAAAGCTGGGTGCAATCCCAGCACTCAGAAGACTGAGGCAGGAGGATCGTTGCGAGTTTGAGATCAGCCGGGCCAGAAAGTGAGCTCAAGGCCAGCCTGAACTGCATGGTGAGACCCTGGTCTCAAGAAGACCAAAGAAAGAAAAATAAATAAATATAAGAAAATAAATGAAACAAAAATATTTTATTGTTAAAAGAAAATATTTGTATTTCTGAAATAAACCATGTGTTCAGCCTGCCTTATTTGGCAATGGAAAGAGGGACCTGACCTTTTTTCTTACAAACAAAGCCTAAATACCATTTTTACTCTATAGTACAAGAAACATAAATGTACAAAGTGTAGGATACTGAGCCCAAACAGTTCAATACCTTGGCATAATCTAGAAGAAGCCCTTGGTTGCTGATTTTAAAAATCTAGGCTGGGCCTTTATTTGTTTTCCAATTGCAATTCCCTCTAAATGAAGAATTCTATGGACAAGAAGAAATTCCATTTGCTAAATATTCTACTAAAGTGAGTTCCACTTAGTAAGTCTTAGTTCTTTTCATTTGCATGGAAGTTACTTTTAAAATAAAATGGCCCACTGCCTAAAACAGGCAGATATTTATATAATGAACTCGCCCTTGTCCAGTTACACAAGTGTAAACCTGCCTTTTACCTTATAAATTTCAAATCTGTGCACATAGAATAATGTTTTTTTAAAAAATTCATTTTATTTTTATTTATTTAATTTATTTTCATTGTGTTGTTGATACAAGTCTTACTATGCAGCTTGGGACTCACAGTGATCCTCCTGTCTCAGCCTCCCTAACCCTGGGATTATAGGCATGCATCACCATACCCAGTTTCAGCGCTGGCACAGCACACCCAGGCTTCCAGGGCCTGCATGGCATGCAGTACCAGGGATTGGACCTCAGTCCTTGCACTTACCAGGCAGGTGCTCAGACCTGCCAAGCTATCTCCCCAGCTCATAAAACCAACTTTGAGTCATGCAAGCCTCTATGTATTTATATGTCAGATAACTGAAATCAACCATACACAATTTTGATCTACCAACCACAGATTTAAACTACTAAAATGCAAAAGAGGGACATTTAAAAAAAAAAAAAATCAACCTGAAATCTCAGTATTCTCAAAAAACTTTTCCCTGGACAGACTGCAAGGCAAGGAGTGGTCAAATAGCTAAACGAACTAAAGCGCCTGCTTGGCAGAGTGTAGCAGCCAGGTTTGATCCCTGTGAGCCGTGCCAAGCTCCGCCCCGGGGAGCACTGAGACAGGGATTGAGACTGTGCGTGGTGGCGCGTGCCTGTAATCCCAGTGCTTGGAGGCTGAAAACAGGAGAATCACTACTAGTCCAACTTATGTAGTGAGACCCTATAGACCCTGTACCAAATATATAAGAATAAACAAACAAACAAACTGCAAGGCAAGGTTTTGTAAAGCCAGGAGTGTGGAAACTTACTTTATAACTGTGCCTTTGGTGCCCCCTGCTGTTGTTAGCATAACTCTCGTGGTCAAACTTACTCGAAGGTCATCTTGGTCCAAACCCAGTAACTCAGCACAATATTCTAATGACTGAGTAGATTTGTTCTTCAGATTGCAACCACCTAGTAAAATATATTTTAATTGGAAGTTAATAAATCTTATTTAAACCAGGCTTTACGCTTAGAATTAAACCTCACTTCTACAAAATTATCAGACAGACCAGACTTTCTTGTAACTCTCACCAACCATCAGCAGACCCTCTTGTGCCACAGCTGAGAGCCTAGACCAGGAAAGCCCAGGGCCAGCAGCGCCCGGGTCTGCACTGTGGCCTTCCATGGTTCAGCCGTGTGTCGTGCAGTACAGTCCAACAGCACCGTGTAGAAAATCCCAGAAATAAACAACTAGCAAGAGGTCGTAAGCCCTTCTGAGCATCATGACGGAATCCTGCGCCACCTTTCCAGGGACCCAAATCGTCCCACTGCTTGGTGAGTTCACGCTATCATTACATAATTTTAAAAAAGCTTATTACAAAAATTCATTTAAATATAGCTTTTTTATTATTATTAACTTTAGTGAATAAGGAGGCACTAGGAATCGAACTCAGGACATTGTGCTTGTCAGCCAGGTGCCTGTCGCTGAGCTATATTCCGAGCTGAAATACAGCTTTTTTATCATATGCTAATTTTCTTATATAACCCCAGGAATTATGAAAGCTAAGAAAACCATTTTTAAATAGTAATGTAAGGATTTCATGTCACTCCCTTTCCAAAAATATTCTTTGTGCATATTTAAACTATGTGGCCACAGTACATACATGTCTGGTACACGATATCTCAGACACACAGGCAGCCCCAATAGGTATATTCTCCCCTCCAGCATGCAGAAGGCCTTTTAAGTGACTGTTAATGGCCTTATTACTGAAGCACAAACTTTCCAGTAAAATAATTATAAAAATAGTGAATTCCTTTTTCCTTTTTTTTTTTTTTCCTTTTTCCAAATTGATGAAATATACTGCAACGAATGGTTCTAATTAAAGAACCTATTTGGAATGATAGGAGTAATAGTAAAGACTAAATTACCCTTAACTATTCTACTTATTTGTTTGCTTTAATATATTAGGTTACAATGCCTACAGGGTCTCACTACACAGATCAGAATTGTAGTGATCCTCTTGTTTTCAGCCTCCCAAGAGTTGGGATTACAGACATGCACCACCATGGCCAGCTTCAGTCACTGTCACAGCAGGCCCCAGGGCGGGGCCGGCACTGCACGCCAGGGATCAAACCCTGGTCCCTACGTCTGCCTGAGCAGGTGCTTTAGTCTGCTGAGCTATCTGGCCAGACCTCAAAACCTTAGCTATTTTAAATTAAAACAATCCAATGTATTAATCTCTTCCCCTGCTCCCTTCTAGTCTTTCCTCCAACAGAAGCAACCTGCAGGAGAGAGGAGGCAACGTGCCCCACCCCTCTAACACCAGTGCCGTCCGACTGCCTGGCCAGAGCCACATCTGAGACACTGCACAGAAACGTGTATCGCAGGGCAGGTGCAAGCCCATCCACCACAAGACTCAGCAGGCTGGGGCAATAAGGGACAATGATTGCGAGCACCTGAGAGATGCCATCCGTCACTGCTAAGGACACTTCCAAGTGCGTTAATTACTGCACACTGAAACCCTTCTCATGTTGCTGAGTCTTACATGCACATGCATATAACAATGCTAAGGAACAAATGAAACTCACAGTAACATCCACTGAACTTGCAAAATATGTTCTCCAATTACTCAAAAAAAAACCCTCAATATTTAATGCACATTTAAAGATAACCGAATTTTGCTTGAATCGCTTTCATTTTAAAGAGGAAGTCATCTTCCTTCCTTCCTTCGCATCTGCTCCTTACAGCGACTGCAATGTGCCAGCCCAAGCCCCCAGCTCACTGTCTGAAGGCTGAGCTGGTCTCCTCCTCTTTGCAGCCTGAGGCCAATCCCTCCCAAGGGTCACCAGGGGGCCGAGGCACGGCGACACAGTCTGACGTAGGAGCACATGCGCTCCTCTGTTACGCGGCACTGTCTCACCTGGTGAATTCACAGGACGCTAACTCTGAAAGTCAGGCGACGGCCCACAATGCTCAGCAGCCTGGGGTCCACAGGCCAACTACTGCAGTTCCCACCTAAGGTCACCACAGACCAGAACCAGCCCTCACACCTGACACATCATCAACCACACAGTTCTCAAGTCCTCCATGGGCTCCACTTCAGTAACACTTCAATTGTGATTCTATTTAACATGAAATACAGACTAGGAAGATTCTGCACAGAGCAGACTTTTTTTTCAGGTCTCAGAATTTGAGCCCAAGACCTCAAGAACTCTATGCAAGTGCTGCATTGCTGAGATACAATCCATGCCAGGCAGACTTCCAAGCTTCCTTCGACCTTCTGCACAGCCCCTTTCTCTTCTCATAGGTGTAATGTCATGAGGTACTTTACTTCAAAAGCACTTCTAATGGATTAGCTTGCTTTGCAAATAGACACAAAACCAAGGCTCAGGGCCAGGAAGATAGCTCAGCAGTCTGAACGTCTGCCTGGCAAGCACAAGGACCTGGGTTCGATCCCTAGTATCACATGCTGTGCCAGCCCGGGATCCAGCTGGCCACTGAAACCAGGTATGGTGGTGCACATCTGTAATCCCAGCACTGGAGAGGCTGAGACAGGAGGATCACTATGAGTCTGAGCTGCATAGTGAGACCCTGTACCAAGTATATACATAAATAATCAAAGATTTTTTAAAAACCAAGGCTCAAAGAGCCTCAGGACCTGACACAGAAACCTGAGTTCCCAGACTGCGGCAAGAGTTCATCAATGCAGGCTCACTCCTCCTCTCTACAGCCAGGCAGTGAATGTCGCAGCCTTTGCAGGACACCGTCTGGGGTCTCATGGCTATACTGTGTCTCAGAAGACGCTGTAGATGCTACACGTGCTGGCCAGACATGGCTACAGGCCTACTTTGCCAATCCCGTACTCCTGAATCAAAGTTAGAATCACATGAAGTCTTACTGCTCATTAGAAATCGAAGCATAGGAATAGAAAAAGCTACCATCCACCAGGCATTTAGATACTCTTCAATTTCCATAAGAACGAAAACTGTAACTTACTTTCATCTCCCATGACCACGGACTTTAACCCAGGGCCTTGACACTCAGCTGTATCCCTAGCCCTCTTTTTCTTTACTTTGAAACAGAATCTTGCTAAGTCACTACATTGCCCACACTTGAGCTTGAATTTGGAATCCTCTGGCCTCAGCCTCCAAGAGTGCTGGGATTACAGGCACGCGGCACCACATCCAACTACACAAGCTTTTATGTATTAAATGATCTTAACCAACCAACTGATCCAAATTTAGACTGAACCAGAAAATGTTCCCAAAAAAACGTTAGCAGATGACAGAGAATTAATCTGTTAATTATTAAAATAATTTTAGTTGGAAAGTGTAACTGAATATGACCCCAGTAGTCAGAGCTACTGGTTTTATTCAAACCAAAGTTCACAATTAAGCATCTGATTTGCCAGATTCATTGTATACCCCCGTATGTTCTAGAAACTTCTAGAAAGTTTAACAAACCTGCAAGAAATGACAGGAATTCTAATTTTATTCCTCTAAAACAGAACAAAACCAAACCTGAAGTGCTGCCCGCTTCTTCAAAATCAATATTGCCAAGGTGCAAGACCCCGGCCACAACGCGGAACAGGTCGAGCTTCTCCTCGTCGCCCAAGCCAATCTTCCGCATGGCTGTACACATGCGGACAAAGTCCCCGTGGTCATCTAACAGAGGGTCTTTCAAGGAGCCTGCCTTAAGATACTGCAGGACAAACAGATAACAGTTAACTGGTCTTATATAACTTAGTAAAGGAGAAATATTGCATCAGGTCTATTTAATATAAAACATGCAAAAATAAAATTTATTGAGAGAAAACCTTAGGCATTTTCTAGCATATCTGAAAATTTACTGAAAGTATTCAAAAGACCTCTATGTCTTAAAACTACATGTAAAGTTTACAGATATTTCCATAAAATTTTGAATTAGAAGAAGGAATGATACAATTTGTGATTAAATTTTAACTTTAACTCCGGGATATTAGATAGAGATATAAGTTCAGAGAAAGGAGAAAATATCTGTGGTTGCAATGAGCATCCTCAGATCATGAAGCACTGAGGTGGTAGTAACGGTAATTTAATTATTTCACAATTTGAGACAATTCCAAAACAGCACATTGTGCCCTAATACCTTTAAATACACACAGAATTTTGTCAATTAAAAACAAATGAAGAATGGTTAAAACTAAAACATTTTACCCTAACAATTAGCATTCCACTACTGTAAGTTAGGTTAACTCGCCCCAACCACACCAGTGTTAGGAGGAAGCATACACCAGGCAGAATAATACGAACTGCAGGCCAGAGAGTGTTTTTAACCTTTCTGTGTAAGTGCATATGGGGCCAGATGTATTAGTACACACATAATCAGTCTAGGAATTCATATAACTTAAAATATTTCAGAGAGAAAAAAAAGAGATCTGCTTTCTATCCTAAAGGAACTTTCATATGAAACATTCGTTTATTAGAACCTAGAAAAACTGAGAAGAAAAGAAGAAAGCCCACAAAAACTAGAAAGAGAAACATGAAAGGTTACTGGGCATAGCATAAATATAGTCTAGGAATTTTCCAGAACTTGAGAGTGACGGCATTAAAATCAGGAAACACAGCATCACCATATTCAGCATTAAAGCTGCCTTGAGGTATTTTCCTCAAGAGTGAACAAGTGCTTACCAGCTGAAGCTGTGACTGTCTTTCCACAATATTCTTTCTCCTAATCTGTTCTGGGTTTTTGTAGTCTGAGGATTAAAGCCAGGGCCTTCACATGGAACTACATTACTAGCCCTTTTTAAAATTTTGGGCAGGGTCTCATGCTGCTAAACTGCCCCAGCGAGGCTCAAATTGGTGACGCTCCTGCTTCAGCCTTCCACAGCACTGGGACCATGGCACATGCCGCCACTGCGCCCAGTCCACGAAAGTCTTTAAAATGATCAATTATGTGTGAAATTTCTGGAAAATGTCTAAAACATGGAATCCATTTTACTCTTAAAAAGAAGCAAAGGAAACAATCACATGCAGCCAGAGCTAGTAGAAAACACAAATGCAGGATTCTTAGTTTGCAGTGGAATATCTGCTTCACTTCAAACTTGTTTCTAATCAGATGTTAACAAATGCACGCTATGTGGCAGACTAAAAATACTGCATCCTCTTAAAAATCACACACAACTTAAAGACATTCAAACGAAATCAGGCAAAGGTTTGATTAGTCAAATGATCACCTCTTCCTCCTGGTAAAGATGACATGGAAAGTGATGAAAACATCATTAATGCAGTGTTCAGCTACATCCACCACACGCACACACAGGTAGGACTTCGGACACCATCCCTGACTCCAGCACAAGGGCTCATACCTCCTCTGGGGAGGGTGGCCAGCCTCCGCCCTTCTTCTAGCTTTTACACCCAAAGCTCACATTCATGTACATACACATTCATCTATCTGTCTTTGTAAACGTGTAAAATGTGCATTCTCTGCTTCAGGACAGCTATACTGCCCTAAAAACATCTTGATTGTCTCAGTGGGAAGAATACAATTTCTATATTTTTTATGTCTTTTAAATGCATGGTCTTGAGGCCGGGGAGATAGCTCAGTAGAATAAGCGCTTGCCTGGCAAGCGCAAGAGCCTAAATTCAATCCCCAGTTCCACAAATAAATAAATGCATGGTCTTACCAAGACAAAGAAAGATGTCACAATGAATACTAATGTTGTTTTTTAAAACCCCAACCCTGGCTGCAACATACTTCACGACTGCAGGTATCTGTGTCTAAAATAGTACACACAATGTTGACTTCAAAAGATTATCTGCAGTCTTATTTGCTTAGAATCTGAAATGATGCCACTATGTCTTCCCATTTGTCTATATAAATATAATAAAGACAAAAATTCATCTTACCCACTGGAAGGAGTCAAAATAGCTAGTTCACACATGTAGAAGACTCAAAAACTAACTACAATAAAAACTTGTTCAATTAAATATCAATATAAATCATTTAATAAGATTAATAAAGGCAACAGTAAGTATTAACCATAACTATTCCTGACTTCATTTTCATAATTCAAGCCCCTTGTATAGATATAATTTAATTCTACTTAAACACGACAATTTAAAATATATAAAGATTTAACATTTTTAAAAGTAATGCTTTACTATAATACAGTTAATTACTCTTAGGAATATATATATATATATATATACATTTAGTACAAGGTCTCATTATACAGCTCACTTGTGGTGATCCTCCTGTCTCCGCCTTCTCAGCGCTGGGATTACAGACATGCGCTGCCATACCTGGTCTCAGAGGCCAGCTCAACATGCCCGGGGGTGGGGCCAGTGTGGCATGTGGTGCCAGGGATTGAACCCTGGTCCCTGTGCTTGCCTAAGCAGGCGCTTAGGAAGGGAATTATTCAATGAGCCCAAAATACAACCTTTACATAATATACTCCAGAACATAATGGGGTAAAGAGAGATCCTATCATACATAGGCAGTCTTTCATGAGAATCCATGATCCATTTCTTGCTGGTCTCAAATCTCATCCAAACCTTGAAGTAGACAATAAATTAAAGACATATTTTACACTTTTCCTAAACAGGTCATGTGAAAGGAAGTTCCAGTGTGCTAACAGATGTTGCTTACTAGGTAATTCGAGCTTCACCCTAGAATCAGATTGAAAGGCAAGCTCTGAAGCTCCACAGGTGCCACCAGGGGACACAGGACTGCACGAGCAGGGCTTGAATGAGGATGACAAGCTGAGAAGCAAGATTCTTATTTGGGCTCCAAAGCAAGCATGTTTCTTTCAGCATAATCTGTTTGCATTAAGGTTGTGTTTGTGTGTGTGTGTGTGTGTGTGTGTGTGTGCGCAGGGTCTCACTACGCAGCTCAGACTCACAGTGATCCTCGTGTTTTCAGCCTTCCCAGTGCTGGGATTACAGGGGCGCACCACCACGCCCAGACTTGCATTAAGAATTTTAATTTTTAGGGCCCGGGAGATGGCTCAGTGGAATAAGCACTTCCCTGGCAAGTGCAAGGGCCTGAGTTCAACCCCCGGTTCCGCAAAAAAACAAAACCCAAAAAAAGAGAATTTTAATTTTTAAAAAAGTCTACTATACCTCAGGACTTTTTCGATTCTGTGAGATCTGTTTGTCGGTTTCTTTGTTAGCAAAGTACCTGGTGCAGCCTCGGTTTAAATACTACGACAAGAAAATACAAATATGATTAACATATTTGATCCACAGAGAATACAAAAGAAAATACAGTTTATCACACAGCGTCAGACACACTGAATTTCTACACATGAGCACTCATCTCTCAAAATCAAGAAAGAGGGGAAGAGGGGCTAAAGGGAGGGCAGGGGAACAGGGAAAAGAGAATCTAGCTGTATCGTGTACACACAAAAATTCCCCAGGACGAATGCGATCACTATGTACAGCTAAAATGCACCAATAAACTTAACTTTTAAGAAATCAATACGTCTATATTTCATAAACACTTAATCCAACAAATAAAATAAAGATATTTAAAAATCCTAATTTCCGGAAGTAGATTAAATGTAATGATTTAAAATAGTAAAATCAACACTATAATCTCCTACTTTTAAGATTGCAATTTCTAATATACAGACAATAATGAAAATCACCTTCTCATGAAACATGCAGACTCTTAAATAAGGGAACACAGGATGGCTTAATATTTCAGTACCTTGAATTCTGAATAATTAAGGAATATCATCCTTTATTTCTTAGTTTTACTGTTCCTCAAAATAGGACTTTCACATTTATTGACAATTAACAGAGACTATTTATAAGTTGCAGCATTTGCTTTACAGATCAAGTATTTCAGTTGTCTTATTTCAGTATTTGCACTGGTCACCCAAAGCACTGCAAAAGCTAAGTGCTTTCAAAACACAGGACAAAGGAGCCCACTGGATGAAAATACAGGCTGCGAACTTTAGACCTCAGATTTCTGTACTACTACGTTCGCTTGGTAAAGTATATGCAAATATTCCAAAATCCCAAACTCCAAGCCCTGGCTTTTTCTGGGCTGGTTTGTTTTCGTGAGCTACAGTCTCCCCACGCACGTCAGGCAGGCCTTGAACCCCAGCTGCCTGGTGCTCCCAAGTGTCAGCACTCCCAGGAAACAACAGCACCTTGGCCCCAGCCACTTCAGATAAAAGGTACTCTCCTGTGACATACTGTCACAGAGAGAGCCTACTACAGTGCGCCCACTGTGCGGAGTCCGGAAAGATATGCACAGGAAATCAAAGGGAATAAATAGTTTAAATATATTGGCTTCCCTTAACTCAGGTCACTAGGATTCCACTACAAAACAGCATAAATTACGAGATAAATTTTGGATACACATATATATGTATTTGGATAATTTATAGGACAGCTATTTTAAGTGACCAATGCATCTATCACTCCCCTTCCATATAATTAAATACTAAAATACAGCAAGATCCGACAGTAACATCACAGGATTTTTTCTTCCCTGAATCTTTAGGGTTAAAAAAAGGAGAAGGAATATAAGGCTAGTACGCATTTTCAACTATTATTTCAAAAACAAGCTCTCCTTAGTAGGGTAATTATAACTTAAACATAAAGTCAAAACAAATGTTTTACTTGCTAGAAAGTGTTTTATCTCTCAAAGCTAAGATTTCATTCAAATGTTTGACTTACCATTAGACCTAATTAGTCTCTGGCCTAACACTGTACAGGGGCCAGCATTCAACCCTGACGATGGCAAAAACTTAAAGACCCAGAAAGATACTTGTTTCTTGCAATTACCTACATCAGAAAGCTGTAACCAGTCCTACCACTCACATTCTCCCTAGCCAGCTTTCATTATACTGAAGGATGTTTGTACCACTACAGCAGACACTTCCATAAAATATGAAAAATATTTTAAAACTTTTAATAAGAGGGGCATTTTAAATCTTTTAGTAATTACAACACAGAACATGTGTAGCCATGATAAATATTTCCAAAAAGGTGGATTTCAGGGCCAGCCAGACAGCTCAGCAGATTAAAGCACCTGCTAAGGCAGGCTCAGGGACCGGGTTTGATTCCCAGCATGCGTGCCAGGCCCGCCCCCAGGGCGCACTGAGACAGTGATTGAGCCTGGGTGTGGTGGTGTGCGCCTGAAATCCCAGCGCTTGGCAGGCTGAACACAGGAGGATGACTACGAGTCCGATCTGTGCAGTGAAACCCTGTAGACCCCGTCCTAAATACATTTTTTAAAGTATATTTCTATCATTCTTGCTATGCAAATTTGGATAAAGTAGTGACAAAACAATTCAACTATTTCAGAAGCATGAACCCTACCACGGGGCTTTCACTGGGACCCAATATCCTTTGTCAGGTGTAAGGAGAAAGCTTAACTGTAGAAAAGCAGATGCAGCCAGCCACATCTCCCATCCTATTCAAAGCTGAGCGACTGGGAAGGGGGAGAAGAGAGACCACATGCTGCGGGGAGGGGTGAGTGGGAGCCACACGCGTCTGCCCTCGCGCTGGCCCACCAAAAGGCCTGCGCGTGACAAAGAGTCAGGCCCACTGCTCTGCTTCCCAAAGGCACGGCGCTGGCACGCTGGCATCTCAGTTCACAGGACTCAGAGTAAACTAAATTCCTTTTCTAAACACAGCAGTAGAACCTGCACCTTATATTCTCACAAGGACAACAGCGTCAGCAACTAACTTTGAATTCCAACTAACCGCCAACAGCCGCCCAAGCGCCAAATGGGAGCACACCTGCGTAAGTGCTGGCCAGCCCACATGCTCCCACTCAGGGAGGTGCTGGGCGTTTAGGGCTTACCAGACACATACCACCACTGAATAATCTGATGAAAGTGTTTTTATATTTCTGATCGTCTTATAAAAGTAATGAAAATGTTTGCACTTCTTGATTACCCTGTATTTGAAGGACGGGCACAGGGTTAACACAGACTGCTACACAAGGCTGGATAGAAAGAGATGCATCTACAAAACACAGATAATGTTTAAAAATCTCCAAATACACTTGAATTACTTGAAGTGAAAACCAGCTGTTTGCAAAAACCAATGGATAAACACACAGCAGTCATTAAACGCAATAACAAGCATGTCATGGTTCTCAGAGCCTGCTCCTGCCCAAAGAGGCCCAGCAGAATCACCTGGGGACACACTGGGAGTGTTGTCTCCCTGCCGAGACTGTGTACACCAAGCTGACTACCTGCTCATCACTTCTTGATACTCTACTGCCGGGCCTGACAGTCCACGGACCTCGTCCTCACCTCCCAATGTGCTTCCTTCCTCGGACTCAGAGTAAACTAAAGGTACTCAGAGTACCTTCCTGTCTGCTTCTCCCTGTCGTCTCCAACCGAGAGCCTCTCCATTACCACTGACAATCTCAGTTTCCATCTGTTCCCTGCCCTGAAAACCATCCTCCACAGTGCAGTCCCGGCACCCACCTCGCACTTGGGCCCTCCCCACTACCTCCCACCAAACTCTAGTGCATTTCTTGCCTTTCTTTGTCCATCCTTCTGGCATCTACCAGGAATAGCTTTTGCACCCTTTTCCACCTAGTGAACACGTGAGAACTGCTAAAGAGTCTGACCCAATAAGCCATGCTTGCAGTACGTCTCAGTACTCGCAGGCTGCTACCGCACCCTGGGTGCACGTCTTTCTCATTCAATAGATCAGGCAGACTCGTGTGCTGTTCTCACAGCATGCTAAGTGCTCAGAAACAGGCACTGTGTCTTGAAACTTATGTTTCTAATCCTGGCACAATGCCTGGCACCTAGTGGGTAGGTAATAAGTATCTGTTACTGAAGTGAATTACAGAATAGAACTGATTTCCTTTATTCATATTAACTCCATGACCAATCTTTTTTTTTTACAAGTAAATCAAAGGTAACTTTAAAGCTAGTATTGCCGAATTATTATAAAGTTTTAATTAAGTTTAAAATAATATAGGGGATAACATCTATTCTTTAAGCTGTTGCATTATATATTTTTTCATATAATACTATACAGGTTAGTGTCCCCTATCTGAAATACTTGAAAACAGTGTGTAAGACTTTAGAATTCTTTAATTTTGGAGTATTTGTATCTATTTTCTAGTTAAATATCCCTAATCCCAAAATTCAAAATTCATAGTTTTTTTTAATCTTTTTATTTATCTATTTGGTACAGGTTCTCACTGTGCAGCTTAGACTCACAGTGACTCTCCCGTCTCAGCCTCCCCAGCACTGGGATTACCGGCATGTGTCATCACACCCGATTTCGGTGACTGGAATGGCACGCCCAGAGTTCCAGGGCTGGCACGACATGCGGTAGCAAGGATCAAGCCCGGGTCCTTACGCTTGCCAGGCAGGTACCCTAGGCTGCTAAGCTGTCTCCCCAGCCCCACAAATCACAGGTTTTGAAATAGTGTAGATCTGATTATTTTTGGGTGAGAGACACTCAACCTCCCACATTATAACCCTCAGCAGAAAGCTCTCATGCAGGGATCACCTAGCACATGGCGTAGTCACTTCTCAGCATACGGGGGCAACGACTCGATGCCTATGGATGCTGGATATCCAAATCTGCAGAAATCCGCAGACACCAAGGGCCTTAGGTAAAAGGGCAGAGCAGTACACATGCACAGTCCTGTGTACGGCCTACACATGCCTTCTGGCAAATCCACATCCTCTAGACTGCTTACAGCTAAGATGTGAGCACTACGCAAACGGCCATCATGCTTTCTCGTGGAGCGAATGAGGACAAGCAGTATGACGGGAAAGCCACCGCCTCCCGCCTCCCGGCCTCCCACCCACCCCCATCCCCCAACCTGGCCTCCCCGGGCCCCCACCTGCCTCCCCGGCCCCCCGCCTCCACCCTTCCACCCACAGAGGCAGGAGACACGCAGATTGGGGCCCTGGCTGACTGCAGGTGCTGGATGCTGCCAACGCACACCTGCGCTTCAGAGCCCACTGTGTGAGTTTAGGGATGAAGGCAACTCAGCGTGCAAGCTTGGCTTCCTTCCAACCTACCCGAAAACTGTCCGGCGAGCACAAATGAAGCTTTTCCCTAACATCTTCAGAAGCACCAGCACACAACCTATAAAAGATGTGGTAATTCCTTTCCTCTTTGCCTTGAACACAGATCCGAGATTTCTCAAGAAGATAATGTGAAACGAATCCTCCAACAACTGAGCTCTAGAAAACAAAATGGAGGGGAAAATGCATTTTTCCATTTAGTCTTAAAGCAGATCATAACGATATTAAATTATTTATCTTTTCTAATAAATTTTACCGAAGAGGTTATAGTACTCATCAAATACAGAGGAAAAAACGTAACTAAATATGAGTTTAGTCTACCTACAGAAGTCGCCCTTCCCCGTAAACATCCGCCCTCAGTCTCTCCCCAGGTCCTCTACTCTTCAAGCCTCTGTGGAATCAGGACTGAGAGTGCTGTGCCTCAGCACGAGCGTCACAGCAACCACTCTGGCTGGGAAGAACTAGAAGACAGGAGCTTGTGGTTCCAAACAAAGGACTGGTAAGAGGAGGAAAACACTGCTGACCCTGACACACTGCAGAAATGCCACAGTGTGCCCTTTAAATATACACAATTACTAGCATGTTGGTCAAGACAACACAGAGTGAACTGTGGAAGGGAAAAAAGAGCTATCAGCTTGTATTCAATGATGCCGTGAGATGCAAGATTTGGGTAATAAAGAGCAAAGAAAGCTTTGGATAATCATGGTGAATATATACATTATTCTATCGAAAGTAATAAAAACATCTCAAGGTATCTAGCCTACATATTGCCCAGATTCTAATAGGATGCTCCTGTTTCCCATTATTGGGGCTGTGCCGGACAGCTCAGTTGTTTAAAGCACCGTTTGGGTAAATGCAGGCAGGCTCATAGGACCACAGTTCAATTCCCAGCTCCAGACCTGCTCTTAAGGCAGGCTGAAGTAGCCAAAAAAAACTCCTCCTCAAATTATCAGGGGCCTGTCTATTAGCTCAGTTGTTTCAGCACCTGCTTATGCAAACACAGTTGGGCTCAGGATACCCAGGTTCAATCCCCAGCTCCTCAGGCCTTAACAGATCTGCCCTTAAGGTAGCCTGAGGCACACACACACACACACACACACACACACACACACACAAACACCCTTCCTGTTATCACTACCCAACACACCATCCCCAGACTCGCTTCCACTCACCTTTTCATTGAAATGTATTTCTACAAATTTCCCAAACCGACTGCTATTGTTGTTGCGCACAGTCTTCGCATTCCCAAAGGCTTCTAAGAGTGGGTTAGCTATGAAGAAAGAAATGCAAGTATCTCACCAATAAGTGAGCATGAAAGAAATTATAAAATGACATGTGTAGTGCTTATCTTTAGAAAAAACGCTAGCATATTCTTGAAAATATTCATATAGAGGGAGTACATGATACAAAATCCTACAAGTACTTAATAATTACCCACTATGTTCAAATACTACTGAAAATCACTAAGTTAGAAAACTTAGAATCCAGTTTTAAAAATTACTCATGATGACATTCACAGTTATAACAAGTATATTGATCCTCAAGACTAATGATTATAATAGACAAAATAAAAATATAGGCAAGTTATTACTTACTTTTCTAAAATATTTTTATTGCTATAATCTCCAGATTAAACTTTTTATATACAAATTCAGTTTAAGAAGAGCTTATAGAATTAAGAATGGTTCTCAAAGTCTCAGATGTTATTAGTTACTAGAATCTATACTTAAACTCATCAGAGCCTCAACCCTAAACACTCTTTAGAATTAATCTTATATATTCTCCATCAACCTCCACTGCTTCCTGTAGCATCAATATTTCTTCTGAAGCCTTTTACAGTCCATTTCCTTTATTCCAGCAATGGTAGCAAGCTCAACTGGTCCCCACAAACCCTTTTAAAGATCACTTCTTGGCCATTTCACTTACCACAATAATCTAAAGAGTATTAAAACTAAAAAATGTCACAATACATCCCTTACTCTTCAGATGGGCATGAGAACTGGCGCCAATAAGGTCAGCTAATTCTCAAAGGCCCAGTGCCTGGCTGTTGACAGAAGAGAGCCACAAGCCTCCCAAACTCCCTTGCTAATGACCTACAAAATAATTTAAGTAAAACTGCATGTATGTAAAACATGCCAAAAGAGTAAGAAATGCCCAAAGACAATCACATTTCGCGTGCTGTCACTAACGGGCACACTCCCTAAGCAATGCCAGATCTCCGCGACGACGCGCCGGCCGGCTCTGCAGCGCCCCACTGCAACTCCACGAGGCTGCAGCGACACTCGCAATAATGCCTTCCAGCTTTTCTCGGCACCCTTCACAGAACACAGCACACTGCCCGGAAATGTCAGGCTTGTGTCTCATCTTCAGGTAAGTCAGTCAGAATACTAATTACTGGGTTAGCCCAGAACTTGCTTTATTTATTCAATTTTTTTTTGTACCAGCGGCCCAACGCAGGACCTGGGCTTCCAGCGGTGCTGTGCAGCTGAGTGCATTCCCAGCCTTACTCAGCTTTCAAGGGCAAACTGACTGCCTATTGGGGGCACTAGGGAAGGGCAAAGAGAAAGAGGAAACAGATGCCTAAGGCGCTGCCAGGGCCTCCAGGAAGACCAGCAGACTAAAAGGGCGCCGAGGAGTGGAGACCAGACCCACGAGGAAGGGGCGGCCAGACCACAGGTGCGCGTGCGTGTGAAAAGCGACAGTTCTGGAGCATTCTCGTGACAGCAGTGTGCCGCTGCTGCGAGACTGACAGCCAAGTGCTCATCCCGCTTCCAGGAGGAGGGGAGCGCGCGGGAGTGGTGACCCAGTGTGACCACGGCCTGCCCGGCTGGCTCCACCCTGGGCGCAAGCAAGGACAGCTGAAGGGAATCAGTCACACAGTCCCGCCTGCCAAGGGACACCTGACTGGGAGCAGCGTTCCCGAAAGAGCGGAACACCACAGCGCACACTTCCTCTCCCCTCGTTACACACACAGGGCCCCAGAGAGCAACGGGAGAGGTTCCAATCTTTCTTCATTCAGTGAATGTTTTTTACTTTACAGAAAAAAGGCAAAATGAAATTTGATTAATAAGATAATAGGAGAAAAACAACAGCTTATACGTCGCATATTATCTTGAGTTACTCAGAGTTCAAGATATGGGCAGAGAAATTTCTCCAGTCAGTGCAAGTGCAAACCCTCCTTTTCCATGAACTAAGAGTACAACTAACTCGCACTCGCGCCCTCTCCTTTCCTTTCTACCTCCCCCATCCTAGGTCCTTTCTCCTTTTTAACATCTTCCCATTTCATAGCTAGCTACTGTACACTGTAGACCTCATTTACTATCTCACCTTAGAGAAGCAATACAAGCCCAATGCGTGAGTCCGATTTATTTTACTGACGAGGATGATCTCAAGTTGCATCCATTTACCTATAAAAGTCTCAAGCTGATCATTCTTTAGGGTTGAGCAGCTTACCACTGCATGAAAGTACCACATCTTTTTCATCTAGTCCTCGGTTGGTGGGCATTTGAGTTGTACCCAGGATTGGCTATGAAGATTTGTGCTGTTATAAACATGGGTGCATATATATCACTATAGTATGATGCTTTAATTCTTCTGGGAAAATACTCAGAGAGGGAACAGCTGAATCAAATGGGGCCTCTAATCCTCGTTTTCTGAGGAATCTCACACGACTTTCCAGCGATTGTACCAGTCCACACACCTGCCAACAGTGGAGAAGGCTCCTTCGTCCCCACAGCCTTGCCAGCAGTTGTGACTGATTCATGACAACAGCCATTCTTTCTGGAGTGCAATGAAATTTCAGTGCTTTTAATTTTCATCTCTCAAATAACCAGTGAGGTCGAACATTTTTCATATTTTTGTTTGCCATTTGTATTTCTTCATCTGAGAAGTGTCTATTCATCTCAGATGCCCATTTCTTTAACTCGGATGGTCTTACATTTTATATGTTCTAGATAGAAGTCCTTTGTGTGAGGACAACTGGTAAAATTTTTTCCCACTCCATAGGTTGTTTTTTCATTCTGTTAGCGATTTTTTTTCTCTCTAAAATTTTTTTTTCCAGTAATTTTTTTATTAATTTTATTGACAAAAAAATTGCAATGTGACAGCTTCAAAACAGGTTGGTAGGAGAGTTACAACAATTAATACATTGCATATTGTTGTCTTTGTAGTAGCAGTGATTTCTTTTGATAAAAGGAGATCATAACTGTTGATTCTTTGAAGTATTTCCCTTGAAGCTTGGCAGTTCCAACATGAACTCTCTGCCTACCCCTATGTCTTCACAATTTCTACCCACTTTCTTTTCCTGTAGATTGAATGTCTCTGTTTTAATATTTAGACCTTTGATTCATTCTGATTTTGGTACGTGGTAACAGACATGGATTAGTCTTTGACACACAGAAGGCCGGTCTTTCCAGCACTGTTTAGTAAAGAGGCCATGCTCCTTCCGGTGAGTATGTCTGGCCTCTTTGTCAAAGATAAGGTGGCTGAGTTGTGGCTGCATCTTCTACTGTGCTCTACTTTTCCTCAGGCCTGTTTCTTTGCTCATACCATGCTGATTTTATCACGGTGGCTTTGTAGTATACCTTTAAGTCAGGGATTATGACGCTTCCTGCCTTTCCCTTGTGGTCCAGAATCGCACTTGTTATTCTAGGTCTCTCCTGGTTCCAAATGGATTTCAAGGAGTTTTTTCTCAAGGTCTGTGAGGCTTGCTAACGGTACTATGATTGATGGATATTTATACTATGCAAGAGGCACTATTCTAGGGATGCAGAATACAAAACAGAAATTGCTGCTTCCCAGTATTTATGTACAGTAGGTACATGGGGAGGGGTGAGAATAAGGGAGAAGGTGGCACTGAGAAGAGACTTGTAGGAGATGGGAGAGCCCTCTGCATCTCTAGTTCTGTAGGGGTACTGGAAAACTTCTTGAAAGTTAACCTGAACAGGTACTAAATGATAGAAAATAAAAATAAACAATACCTTCAACAATTCTGTCATCAATATCTTGACCTGTTCCATAAGACTCAGTCAGATACCTGTTTAAAACACAGAATTAAAAACTTGGATGATAATCTGCATAACAGATTCATAAATTTTGGATTATTTAGTACATATAAAACTGAAACCTGTACCAACCTTATAACTTTAAAATTTACAAACTGATGTTCAAACTTATTTTGTTATAGCTTTAAATTTATTTAGAATTCTATTTAAACTATCTCTAACATCTAAATCAATGTTTTATTCAAGCCGTCTTTGGAAATACTCAGATTTTAGCCAAATACTATATTTGTTTTTAAATATATCACTCATTTCACATGCGAATATTCGCCAACTACGAGGTTTCAAAGCCTCTTAAAACAGCCTATCAATTCACTCTTTAGCGAAAACAAGGCCACCTGCCACTGGCCCACCTGGAAGCGACCACATGCAGAAGGTGGCGGCAGCCAAGGAAACAAGCCTGGAGAAGGTGTGGGGAGGCAAAGAGTCATAAACTCCAAGTAAAAACAGGATTTCAAGAAGCACTGAGAACAAAGCGTCACTGTGGAGCCTGGAATTCAGAGGAACATGCCCAGCTCTCCTCCTGCCTAAGCAGCACCGCTCTCTTCTAGGCTCCTCGCCTGTCAGAGCGGGCTTGCAGCAGCCTCCAGATTAGCTTCCATAAAGAATGCCTGCTTCTGTAAAAGGCTAGAGTCTACCATCCCAAGGTATTCCCAGAAGTGTGAACATGCATTACAGTGGTAGCGAATGCTTGTACATCCGTGACCATAACTACACCATTCGCAGAGGTCAAGAGGTAGAAGCAACCCCAATGTCTGTCAGCAAGGGGCTGCTCTGTGGACGAGCAAGCGCACCATGTACCTACCATGGAGCATTACTTGATCTTTAAAAGGAAGGAAATTCTAACACGTACTGCAACATGGGACACACATCACATGGGTGAAATCTTGTTATGATACAAGGCAGCCCTAAAAAGATAAACACTACATGATCCCACCTCTCTGGGGTACTTAAAGCAGGTGCAACCAGAGAAACAGTAGACCTGTGGTTGCCAGAGGCTGGAAGAGCAGAAAGGCAGGTACGTAACAGGCAAAGAGCTTCAGTGATACAAGATGAAAATGTCTAGGGACTGACTGCTGCAGAACGATGTGAATGTGCTTAACAGTATGAAACTGTGCACTCAGAAAGGGGTTAGGTGGAAAACTGCATGTCGTGTGTTCTTAGCCTCCAAAACAACGGCACCCTGTTCCAAAATATTTCAAGGCAGCCGAATACTCACCTTAGGACAAATTTCGTATTTTCTGTCTTACCGGCTCCTGACTCCCCAGACACAATGACAGACTGGCTCATTCTGAGCACCTTCATGTCCCGGAAAGCCTTGTCAGCTGGGGTCAGAACAGCACATCATGACTAACGGCATGCAGCAGAAAGCCACTCAATGACAGAAGGTACACTTAGCATGGAAGAAATTGTAAGGGCATCTTAAAGGGGAATTTTTAAGACAAAGTTATTTAAAGTGTTCAAAACATTTCTGAAAGTATTTATTTTCAATGCTAGATCCTAACAACTACATAATATGGAATCTGAACCACCCTTAATGCTGTGCTCCAGTGTCCCAAGTCATTAGCTGTGGTCAGCACTCCTCAGGACCAAAGCATATGAGCAGAGAATCAGAAAACTGTTTCCATCCCTAACTAGAGGCCCCACTGAAAAGCAGGCAGCAGCAGGCTGCGGGATGAGAAGCCTGGCAACCCAGCCTCTGCTGGGAATAAGAAGATACATCGGGGGGCTGGTGAGATGGCTCAGTGGTCTAAAGCACCTACTTGGAACAAGCTAAGCTAAGCAAAGCACCGGGACCGCGGTTCAATCCCCCAGCACCACATGCCAGCCAGCCCCGCCCCCTGGTGGGCTGAGCTGGCCACACACACACAAAATAAATAAATAAATAAACAAATAAAAATTAAAAAAAAAAAAGAAGATACATCGTTGCAACATAACGGGGGAGGGGTGGTCTCCCCTATGGGTATTATTAAATTCAAACATCTTCAGAATGTATCTCATTTCAAAGAAAAGCAAATTTTGCTGCTTTAAATATCTTAGACTCACAATTGCTTATATGTAATGCCTAACAATTTTCACCTATGCTCTACAATTTAAACTACAAAGTCAAAACTGTTTAAGTTTAAAATTATTTAAGTTCCTGACCAACTAGGCTCAATACGACAACTATGTCTCACCTCCAAATGTATGCTAACTGTACCAATGAGGAAGGCTGAGCACAGAAGACAGCCATCTGGGCTGGATGTGGTCCCAGTGTCCCTAAGGGCCCACTGTCACAGAAGGCCCAGCCCACAGGGGGCAGCATCTCGGGGAGGGGAAGCCCCCGGAGGTCCTTGGGCCCCTGGGCCACGCCCTCAGAAGGCAGTTCTCGAACTCCTGAAGGAGGGTTGTATGAAAGGAGCAAGCCTGCCCTCGCACTGCTACTCGTCTGGGAGGGAATCACTGGCGCTCACTAGCCACTGCTACTGAAGTACAGTGACACAGGGAGTCGTGGTCCACAGCACCACATGTGCAGCGTGGTCTTCTCCAAACCTGTGAGCTAAGTAATCTCCTCTCCCTGGGGCATCCGGGCAAGTACTTTGTTACAAGGCACACAGAGGTGACTAAGGTATCATGCGTAAGAGTACAGGCTTTCCTTTGTCTAACTTATCTATAATCTGCTACACTCACTTTTACAGAATCATTCTAAACACTTTAAAAAAAAAAAAAAAACGTATTTAGTACAGGGTCTCACTACACAGATGGGACTCGTGATCCTCCTGTTTTCAGCCTCCCAACCACTGGGATTACAGACGTGTGCCACCACACCCAGTCTCATTTGCCATCTCAGCACATCCCGAGGGCAGGGCCAGCATGGCACACGGGTGATCGAACCCCGACCCCTGCACCTGCCTAAGCAGGCTCTTTAGTCTGCTGAGCTATCTGGCCAGCCCTCTAAACACTTTTTAGAAGAGGCTAAAATTAAAAGCTACCTGATTTACATTTTAGACACATTACTAACTTCTCTCCAGTGATCAACTGGCTCATATTCTGAGGACTGTGCACCATCTTATGGCCTGATAGGAGCATAAAACATGGTCATCAAAATGAAAAGTAAGTCTACTGGGCTTGCCTGGTGTGTCTATCTGTCCAGCAGAACATGGCACATGCAGTGAGGTTAGGCCACGGGCAATACTAAGAGAAGTCCCCATGAAAAGCAGACTGCACCAAAGTGACGCTCAACTGCTGCAGATGCCCAAACGCAAAGAAGCTAGTTGACATCTCTGAACTTGGTAGGGAAGAGGACAGTGGGCAAATTCTGGTTCTGACCAAATAACCCATCTCACTGAGCCTCAGTGCTGGACGGCTTCCCAATGGGTGAGGCAGGGGAAGGCCAGGACAGCCAGCTTCCCACAGATTCCTCAGCAACAGGAAGCAGCTGCCACTCTTCACCTCCTCATTTTATGGGACCCTGCTGCAAGATAACACCTGGAAGAAGACTGCTCTCCCAGCTCACAGCGGGCCCGGGTCATACAAGCAGCGACCTGGGTCACAGCGCGAGGCAGGACACTTGTAGAGTCACATAAATCTTACCCATGAGCCAAGAGAGCCACCAGGTTTATGCTTATTATGCCCTGCTTTCCAGTGGGCAGGCACACCCATGAAGACCCAGGCCTTCAGAGACAAGGATGCGTGGCTGCCCCATGAGCTGGCTGCAAAACCACACATCCCAACCCTGTGAAAGGCACGGCTCCCAGCACCACTTATGCTGCACACCTGCTACACACGTATGTTCGATTCCTGTCATCATTTATTAATCCAAGGGAAAACTGAGTCAATCTGTACAGTACAAGGAAGGATACCGATTAAAATACAATTACATCCCTTACCAATTGCAAAGACATGAGGCGGCATTGTTCCGAGGGACTTTCCTTGATACGACTTTATTGCATCTGAAGAATATATTTTAGGTATATCAAAGTACGGGTTCACTGCAATCAGAATGTTGGCAACATACGTCTACAAGGAAAGGTGTAAACATGAAGTTTTTCCAATTACTATTATCAAGCTGAGCAAGGCTAAGAGGCAAAGATCCCTCCAATTCTCCACACATGCAGGACCCCGATACCAGCACTAAACACTCTCTATAAGACCCATTATTTCTCCCACACAGGAAGTCTTCATATCTTCTTGTGTCCCCACCATCTCACACCCAGAATTCCCAAAGGTAAGAGTCCTTCTTCCAACTCCCTTTGCCTCAAAGAAAATAACCCTCCAAAAGTGCCCCTCAGGTGCAGGACACAAAACACCAAGCCACCCTCCACAGAACTCTGGGTTTCCAAAGGCCTAGGTCTCAACCAGGCTGCCGTTGACGCCCTCATGACATCTCCTCCCCTCCCTCTGATTCCTACAGCCGGCTCTGGGTATGTCATTTCCACGCAGTCTGCTTCATTTGTCCGATGGTGACTGTGCAGAGGGGCTCGGCACTGGCTGACCACCTGGTGGCAGAGGCCTGTGAGCAGCACTTGACTGCTGCCGACCGACTGCAATACTGATGAGCTAAGCCTCAATGAACAACTTAAGCTTGCTTTTAACTTTGGAACTTAACTGTGGCTTTCAAAGATCAGAAAAATGCACAAGCAGGATTTATAAAATTCCTAGTTAGTTAGTGGAGAATTGTGGTTTAGCAAGACTAGCCAAACTAGAGCTCAAAAGGCCATTTCTGCTTCTAATCATGGGCGAAGAATTCTGCAGAAACCCAGAACTCTTATTCAACTATAATCGAGAATGTAGAGAATATTCCCGAAGATGTTTCTTGGAACAGAGTGAAAAACAAGAAATTCTAGATCATAATTTTTCCATGGGAGCAAAAGGAAGGATCAGAGATTTTAGTAACCATAAAAACATTAAATGTGGGCTGTTATTCTACCAACTCTAAAAGAAAATAGTGCTATCTCTTGATTGGTAAAAACCATAATATATCAAATTTAAACCATTTCTCTCAATTGCTTCCCTCAGCTATTAATTATAGTAACTTCCACCTCTGCATGTCACTGTAATAGCAACTACATTTATATTGGCTGATATTTAATAGTTTATAACTAAAGGGCATGATTGGCTGGGGAAAAACACCAACAGCAGCTTCACTGAACCCTGGAAACAGTGGTGTCATAGTTCGACTCAAAGATGATATCTCCCAGGTACTTCTAAGTTATCTTTCATTGATTTATTACAATCTAAACATTCTGCTGCTTTAACAACTTTGTGTCACTGTATTATCTAAAAGCAGCATTCAGCACACATTTGATTCTGTCCAATATGAGTAATTTTGCTTCTAAACACATTTGTACTCAAGAATCTGCATAGGTAAACCTAATTATACTCTTTATTTAGTTGATTTTGAAAAAAAGTCAAGGAGGAAAGTAAACTCTATGTGCATAAGCAGAAGACACGCTGAGCAGCCAGAGGTGAGAGCTCTCCGCATGAGTCCCACTACCCAGCTGTCACCCCTTGGACAGATGGCAAAGACTAGATGTAATTTAGTCAGAATTAATTAAGTACAATTAGGTGAACTGATAGTGATACAAAAGATGAAGGCTGTCACTTGATCTAGGAAGTGTCAAAGAAGCCATGTGCTTTCTTCTTTCAAAAATAATGAAGAACCCATCTTTCTAGCAGGAGAGCCAGAGCAGGGTAATCTGTCTCCAACCAGCAACAGAAATCTAGGGCTGGGGAGACAGCTCAGTGGCACAGCGCCTGCCTGGCAACCATAAGGTGCTGAGTTTGACTGCAGTGGCAAACACAACAAAAAGAATCTAGACTAAAAGAATCTAAAAGAACAGAAGACATTAGAGCATAAAATCTCAGACATGGCCAAAGAATAATCATAATGAAAACACAGTAATAAAGTAATAGTTCAGGTTTTAAGATTAGCATTTTTGTATTCTTGGTATTTCCTGAAACACTGCCTTTCTGACTTTAATATATAACCCTTACAGGCTGCCTTTAATTGTCTGTAGAACAATGTGAAAAGTGAAATTAATCCATCATATCCATAGACATATACCAAAAAAGAGAAATCAAAATTCAAAATAATTGTCTTCATAAATATTCAACTTTGACATTTTTAAGTCTGCCAGATAGTAAATGACGCTCCAAATTCACTCTTTCACTCCACAAATCAAGCGCCCGCTGTTACCAGGCACCTCCTGAGCCTGGAGGTGGAGCACTAAATCTGAAAGAGCCCTGTCTTCTGGAGCTCATCCTATTCCATAGGCTTGAATAAGCAGGATGTCCTGCCAGAAACACTTCCTGACCAAGTCAAGCAGTCACACAAAATAATGACCCCCTCAGAAACTAGACCACAGGTAAAATACTTAAGCTTTAACTAAAATACTCACATAAATTCTGTCTTTACTGTATCGAACTTTGATATTATGGAGCAGTGTGGCTTCATTTAAGTACATTAGTGAACCTGAAACACAAAATTTGTAAATCATGAAACAGCTAAAGCAAAAAAAAAAACACAATCCAGAGAAGGAGAAGACTGCAGCTTTATTGTCTGCCTAGGCAGATGGCTGACCACTAGGAGGGCCTCAAAGACAAACTTGAGGACAATTTGTTCTTTCAGTGTACTGTAATATTTTTCTTGTCAATAGCCAAAGAAAAAAAAAAAAAAAAAAAAAAAATTGTATTAGAATAATTCTGACCCAAGTTTAAATTCAACTTACTAGGTCAGATTTAATTCCATCTTTTTAAAGCAGGTACACATAAAACTAGAAAGAGTGGTACCATAATAGTGGTACCCTTCTTGCCTAAAATAAAAACAGCTTCACATGGTATTTTCAAGCAATGAATTACTTAGTGAGTACCACTGATTGTATACACCAATAAAGTCTGGTTGAAGAGTCAAGTACTGTCCGAATAGAAAGTACCACTTAGGGGACTGATACACTGCTGACACAAAGACAAGACAGTAAACCCATGATGCTCAGTGTCTCGTAGATAAAACATGAAAGACGGGGACACAAATGAACGACCATTTTGCAACTGCATACTCAGAATAGTTAGGGTAGATATATAGCTCCATTCTCTTAATTCAATGAATAGAAAGGTTTGGTCTAATAGTGTTTGAGACAAGATATCAGGTCTGCATCTTGTACAATGAATAACCACTAAGACAACAATATGCAATGTATTAATTATTGAAAATGTGCTAGTAATCAGTTGTGAGACTGTCTCACTGCTGTTTCTCAATAAAAATATTTTTTAAAAACATGAAAGACGAGACTCAGAAGGGCTTGGGACCGTCAGGTCATGCCGTCCCTCCCAGCTGACATGGCGATCCTGGGGGAGTTACATGTCCCTTAGCCTACACTGACATGACACTAATGAACGGCAGAACAGGGGCTGTGGTCCTCCTTTCTGATGGCTGTTCTAGTACTACGTCGATGTTTCTTCCCAACCTGCTCTCCGGGCCCTCTGATCTTCTGAGCCCCATTACTACCTCACGCTACAACAAACAAAGCCAGTCCTTTCTCACCACCGTGCTTCTGTTGTCAGCGCCACCGCTCTCACAGTCAGCCAAACCACAAACTTTAGGCAACACCAGAACCCTCCTCCTCCATCTTCCCCGTTCTAAAGTTTCCAAGTCCGGATACCACGTGATATCCAGTGCATCCCACTGCAGGCACACCACAGCAGCATAGTGTGAGTCTCCGAAATGCCTCTCTTCTGTCCATTTCTACCATTCCACCTCAAGCTTACTGTCTCCTGTGTGATTACAGTGGCCTAGCACCTGCCTTACTGCTTCAGTCTCTCCTATGCGATCCAGACTGCTCAGCACACTGACTCAACTAGGGCTCTAGTGAAATCTCTCTCCATCTCAAAAAAAGCCCACGGATCTCTACCAATTATCAACATCCACACTCAAGTCTGATCAAAGCTCTTATAAAAATATATGTAAATAACCCTTTTCGCCCAATTTTTCACACTGTACTATGCTCTAACCTGTAGGCATACTGAACAGCTCACCAACACCACTCATGCTCTGGCAAGTGCCAAGAAGCAACCTGTGCTTTCAGGCAGCCCTGGCTCAGGAACGTGCTTCCACCAGGTCTGGTCCCATAACCAGCACAGCATGAGGTACCGGGGATCGAGCCTGGGTCCTTGTGTTTGCCAGACAGGCACTTAGACCACTGAGCTATCTTCCCAGCCCCATCTTCTTTCTTGAAATAAGAGTTTTCAATGTTCGGCACCATGTCAAGTAGACAGGATTTTTAAATAACCCCCTTCCACAGTCTGGTCTGAAAATGCTTGGTGCTTACCTCAATGCTATGAGAACACAGAACTTCAAACGGTGGGGTGCAGGAGTATGTAAGGCTCAGCAATTTGGAGGCTGAGTCAGTAGGAGTCATTTAACATCACTGTTTGGGGCAACTAGTATTACAAAAGAACGACTATTTAACAACTACCTATTAAAAATGACTTTCAAAACATTACACTAAAATGTTTGGCTGGGTGTGACAGCACAAACCTGTAATCTCCCAGCACTCCGGAAGCTGAAGCAGGAAGATCACAAGTTCAAGCAGAGCTTGGACAACTTAAACCATGTCTCAAAGGAATTTTTTTAAAGGGCAAGGGACATAGCTCACACAAAGACCCTGGGTTCACCCCAGTGCCAGGAGGGAGAGCAGAGGCAGAGCTGGTGGGAGGACAACATGTGCAGTGAGGACAAACAGACAGAAAATTACTAACACCTCCCCCAAAACCTGAGATGTGACCACGCCTCGAGGTTGAACATGTAAGAACAACACAACCTGTGTACTGGATGAAGAATTTTTCCACCAAACATCCAATCGAATGGATGTGGTGCTTCTGCGTCTTGTTGGGCTGTGTGTGCCTTGCTTTGTTTCATTTGTTGGTACTGAGGGTCAAGCCACCCATTCAAGCCATTTTTCACTTTCTTCTTCTGAGGCAGGGTCTTGCTTGCTAAGCCACTACGCTACTCAGACAGCTGGAACTTGCTGTTTTCCTGCCTTGGCTGCCCACAGTGCTGGGATTACAGGTGTACACCACATACTTAGCCCATCTTGCATTCTAATATAATGTTCTGAAATAAAATTTTCAGTAAGTAGCTATTACATAGTTTTTATCATCTGCTTTAAACAATGATGTTAAATGACTCCTACTGACTCCACCAGCTAATTACTGACCATTTTTACTACTACAAAAACCACTTTGAGACTCTAGATGAGTTTCAACTTAATGCTCCCAGCTAACAGCAGGTGGCTTTAGCTCAAGCCTCGCGGTACATGTTCACTATTCCCCACAGGCTCACAACCAAAATACTACCGAGAACCGTCGAGAGACTCACCGAGATGCACACCTGAGATAAAACAGAATTCCGCCTTGAGGTTCCTCCACTTGCATGAACTTCACACTGAGCAGCTATGTTTTTTCTGAACCAGTATGATGTACCAGTAACACAAGCACTAATTTATCTTGGAAAGAAGTTTCTTTTTCTGTGCTAAGAGCTAACTTCCAACTTGATACTTACAGTTATCTTCCACATCTTTTTTACTGTCCTCTTCTGCGGGAAACACTTGGTTTACAAGAGCCAAAAATGTCTAACAAACAAATAAAAAAGATTTTAAAAACCTCATTAAACATGAAGTCCACAGCAAGAAAAATAAAGGAGTTTAACTGGTTGCGTACATCATGCGACATGCAGGCAACAACATAGTCGTGACAGAGATGTGACACAGACCTGTCACTGCTAAGGCACTGACCCCACACAGCACCTTTCCTCAGAGCCCACAGCCACAGTGGCAGAACTCAGCACACAGCACCTGGGCTCTCCCATCTGGAGGGGCACATCCAAATGAACTTCACAGGAATGCTACTAAGCAACTCCTTTTAAATAATGCTGGTAGGCACAGAGATTTTGTTTTTAAAAAGCAGAAAGTAGCATTCAATAAAATATAAAGCATGAATTTTAACATATGAGTAATTCGTATTTGATAAAGTCCTGTACAAAGATCTGTCAGAAATATAAACAGTATCAGAGAATATTTGGTTAATAAAATTAAAGTATCCATAAATAAATCTGCACTTAAATTTACTACTTAAATTCTATGGTAGAGAGCATTAAAGTATCTTGTAAGGGAGAACAAACGAACTCAAACTATATCAAGAGAATTAAATTTCAATCCTATTCTAACATTTGCTTTTAAATTTATACCTCTAAATAATTAGTTACTCCTGTGGTTAAAGTTTCCAAACATACCAAATAAAACAGTAAAGAAAATGGTCCAATTATGTTAAAATAACACTTGTAGAGAAATACAGCATGTGCTTGGCATGCGCAAAGCCCTGGGTTTCACTCTGCCACCAAGCAATACCACCTGCAAGTCTCGTGCGTGCGTGTGCGCATGTGTCAGAATGCTACATAAGACGAAGTTACTGTCATAGTTTCGGGAGTAGAATCCAGGCTACAAGCACCACCTCCATCTGAAGTCATACCCAATTTAGAAAAACATTATGCTCTAAAACTCCAGAAGTTACTCATTCTGAACCCAGTACCTATATTCTCAATGTCATAAGTGTGAACATTTAGAGAAGCGAGCACAAAAGTGAACTGGTCCAACACAGACAATCTATGAATGATGACATGCAGCAATCCACACATTATCACAGTGAGCCTACAGAAAAACACTTCATAAGTTACTGCTATGTTAGAGAACGATGCCCCTATTTATCACAGTCATGACAAAGGGACACAGACCTCTCCTGCTCCAGAGTTTGGGTCTAACCTGGTAGGACCTATGTGAAATAAAAAGGCCCCAGAAGCCGGAGCACAGGGACAGCAGCTCAGGCGAAGGTGCTAACAAAGATTCACTGTGCCTTCAAGAGCACATGGAAACAAGCTCTCAAAGAGGGTGTCTCTCCCTCCTTCAACCCTCCAGTTACCTACTGGCCCCCATTTTTTTCCCTCCAAGAAAAAGTCTGTTTTCTCCTAGCAACTGTTTTCTTGTAAAGGGAGTACTTTTCCTTCTAGCCAAACAAGATCCAATAATAAAGAACACATGGATCCCCTACCACGAAACACCAACCACACAGAAAATATAGTACATCAAGGTCCAACAACAGAGCCAACATATAAAGCAGCGCCCGCACTTGAGAAGAGTATTCAGCAGGAAGGGGCGACCTGCATAGCATGAGCCCCAAAGAGGCCTGCAGGATGGCTAAAGAGCCACACTTGTCCACATGGCAAAAAGTAATTAACAGTTAACTTGTTTCATGGGAGAGATTTGGTTCTCTGTGGACAATTATAAAGAAGGTAGCCTCTGTCTTGGATAAATAAGCATTTACTAAGCAAAGGCTATGGAGAATGGCACACCAGGCAGAAGGAGGACTGTGGGCAGGGACACAGCGCCCAGTACCTCCTGCTGTGACAAATACGTGCAGATGGAAAGAACAGATGCAGAAGAGCAAGGCAAGGCTTCCACGGGGAAACTGCAGGCTGACAGAGCACAGCCCAGCAGAGCAGACTCGGGAAATCCAGTGCAGTCCCTCAAGTGACAGAGGTTTTGGGATTTCACCTGACGGCCAGTCTGCTGCAAACAAGGAACAAAAATCAACTCAGAGGGTTAAGATAGCATTTTAAAGAGTATCACACGTGCCAGTGATGTTTCAGTTGATCAGCCGTTTTGTTTATGATACACAACACACACTTGTGGACATGTAAAATGTATTTCTTACACACTCAAACATACACCATACACACACCTAATGAAATGTAAATCTTTCTTACTATGGAATACAAAGCACCAGAGCACAGGCCTCTCCCTGCTCTGCACCTCCACAACTCCAGCACATCGCTGGTCTCTGGTAACTGGTCGACCACTTCATGGACTTCACTTTTTATATGTATGTTTAGGGCTGATGATCTTCATAAGATCATGAATTATCTCAGCAAAGTTGTTATTTTTCTTGTGGGTCATTTTAAGCATCTGGTTATTATGACACGTGGCAATTTATTAAGACTTCAATCAGAAAGGGTGGAAATCAAAGATTAAAAGTAATCCTTGATAATGTGTTAATCCTCAAAAAATTTTTATGAAAAAGGAAAATAAAGGTTAGCCTATAGAATTATCTCCAAATCCATAAGTCACATGACTCCATAATTTAAACTTACAATTTGGTCTATAGGCACCTGATTAATACTAATAAGGCACTATTAAAGTACATTAAAATATACTTAAAATATTAAAAAATATATAGCCTCATAAATCAAGGGGTTTTTTAAATCTTTTATTTAGCTAGTTGATTCAGGGTCTCACTGTGCAGCTCAGACCTGCAATGAGCCTCCTGTCTCAGCCTGCTCAGAGCTGAGATTACAGGCGTGTGCCACCACGCCCAGTTTTGGGGGCCGGCATGGTACATGGTACCAGGGATCAAATCTGGAGCTTTGTGCTTGCCAGGTAGGCGCTTAGACCTCCAAGCTACCTCCCCAGCCTCTCATTTTTTAACTGAATTATTTTGTCACCTGTACACATAAGAGAAAATTCCTAGGAAATATAATTTTCATTTTATTTTAGCCTTCTAATTCTAATAGCCTTGTGCTTAAAAAACATGTTAAATAAAAAGCAGATGCTTTCCAACGCGTAAGATAATTAAACTTCTAAAAATTATTTTATTTTTCACATGTATTACACTGTAAATACAAATAGGTGACTATAATAAGAAGAAAATCTAAAAACACTTTTTCTCTTCTTCCCTGAAGGCATCTTTAATTGGCCTCCTCCAACATGGCACATTCTATATTATGCATTTTGGTTCCTGGGTTGTTTACAGTAACAGATAGTTTTCCCTCTGAAAAGACCTCAGGAGAGATCTTGTTTTTCTAAGGTTCCCAAAAGGATAGAGTCATATGGCATTAGTTAACCATGTATCAGTGGAATATAAATTATTCATGAACACTTGCAGAGTGTAAAGCAAACAGAAATGATATCCACAAGTTTAATTCAGTCAGAAGACATATTTATCAGGAATATTTGTTAAACGGGAGATAGTGAAGCTGTCCTACAAAAACAGACTCTGCCCGTTCCTCGTGGAGAGTAAGAGAGGGAGTCACAAAGGATCCGCCTCCACAAGCAGCTCACAGCTCTGGTCACTTCCCCGCAAACCTCTACTCTGTGACACTGCCCAGCCTGTGCCTCAGCATAAAGGGAAATAAATCACACCATACAGAACTGAAGTGCACTTTCATGCTACAGTTTAAGACTTAGTGTTTTTACTCAACACAAACGTATTTATTCAAATCCCATACTAACTAGTTTAATAAAGTATCCAGAGAGAGTGGGAGAGAGAGAGAGACAGAGACAGACAGAGACAGAGACAGACAGAGACAGAGAGAGGACATACAAAGGTCAAGCAAAAGCAAAAGCTGATAACACAGCTCCATTCACAGCTTATGCTTTTACATCATATGTGTTGAGCACATCACAGGTATACTATCAATTTCAGAAAAGGGGCATAAAGAAGATGAAGGTTGTTTTGATTTTATCACTTAACTACTTAAGAACAGGACTATGAAAGTCTCACTAAATTGGTCTCATTTTATGGTCTCATGGCACAACTTCTTATTTTAATCAAAAAAGCCCATTGAAAACACTAAGATTAACTTAGGGTATTTTTTTGCCTTTATTCTGCCAAGAATATCTTACTTCTGTAAGAAGAGAAACATGTATCTCTTTTGAAAGTATCCCTGCTTGTATAAAGGAATCACATTTGAAACTCTTCCCGAGAAACTCACCTTGCCTTTTTGGTTCAAGGGCTCGATTGTCAAGCTGTCGGGGCCAATGTCCACGATGCTGCCCATCTGAAACCCATCTGTTGGGTGTGGGGCCCACACGGGCTTCCCGTCCTCCATGTCTGGCAGCACTGTGCACTAGCTTCTGCAAGGAACAAAGAGAGCATTGAAACATTAAAAATCTTTTTTAAAAGGTCACTAATCGCAATTTAGAGACACACATCTCTCCTTGCCCCCAACATGTCCCACCTGGCCTTCTCACCTCACTGGCCCTGCTCCCTTTAGCCACCTTTCCGGAAGGGACCGACAGGTCAGCACTGCCCACAGGTTACACTGGCCGCAGCGCCACCTGCCTTCAGCTGAGCCTGTAGCGCAGAACCACGCGCAACCAGTAAGAAACAGAAACAGTCACAGCTCTTACCTGTGGTTTCAGTGTAATTTACAGTCACATCCCTTTTACTACCTAAAGCAACCTCGTGTGCACAATGAATCAAGGAGTTGCTATGGCTTATCTCTAGATGTCCCCAAAGCCTCCTGTGGTCACAAGGAGGGCTCTTTCAGAGGTGGCTGATCCCAGAGTGTGTGACACTGCGATTAATTCAGGAGGCAGTGCTAGGATCAAAGACACTGAGATTAAGGGTGCGAGTGCTGCCTGTGGTGAGCAGGTGGATAAGACTTAGGGTAGAAGAAGCTGCAGTAGTCCCTGGCTTGTTCTGCTGCCTTCTTCCACCACGAACGTCTCCCTTCAGCGCGTCCTGCCTGCCATCCACCCTGCCTCGGGGCCAGCAGACCATGGGCTGACTGCTCTGCAAACTGGGAGCTACACAAAGCTTTCCACCTTTAACTTTGAGGGTCAGCTATTTGCCTCAGCAACGAGAGAAACTACTAAGATGGAGTCATCAGCAGCACAACCGTGCCAGTGCGCTTAGCTACGAGTGGAAAGCCAGGCCACTGCGGACCTGCAGGGATAAGAGATTCCCTGCACTCCTCCTCACAGTCCCTCAGCTTGAGGGCTGCTACTCTTGTCTTACTGCTTCACTGAAGTAAGACTTACATACAGTGATGCGTGCAAATCCCAGCCCACAAGTTGATGCGTGGGTACCAAGGAGTAACTTACTTAACACACCCTAGACACAAGGTAGAGAACATTTCTGCCTCCCCAGAAAGCTGCCTCACAGCTGCCTCTGGTGGGTCCCCACCCACAGGTACCCCACTGTTCCGCTCATCTTTGCCTCTCTTTGAACTTCAGGGAACATCACACAGTTTGTATTCTTTTGTGTCCAGCTTCTTTCATGTAGCAATATATTTTGATATTCAACATATCCAACCATGCTGTCCACAGACTGACTGTCCCACAGTCATTTCCTGTTGTCCTGCTGGTGGACACCTGGACTATTTCCAGTTCTTACCTATTGTTAATTTCAATCTGATTTTTCAATCATAAGGCTTCTCACATACTTGGCATTCTGAGAAACAACATTTATAATCCTATGGAGAGTAACTCAGAGAGTGTATGACACCCCAAATATTTTGTTTTTAAAGCTAGTACCCAGCAAGACTAATGCCTAACAGCAGCACGTCGGCCACGAACGACCCCGGACGTTTCCATTCCAGCACACAACTGGAACTCTCTGCCTCACTGTTTCTCTGTACTTAATGAAGAGCTGATTCGTGGGCCATACTGCTCCTCACACCTGGGCCCACTCGGATGCCCCCCAGGCGCAGCGGCTCAGTGAAAAGGCTGCTGCTGGGCGGTGGCGTCAACGTAGCAGCCAGAACGTACTGCTCCCAGAGCAGCAAGGGCTTAGGCCCAGGAGCCACCTGGCCAGCATGTCACGTGGAAGGTCTCCAGGAAGGAAGGCAGTCACACCGCTTCTTACTTACACCACCCTCATCTGCATGCCTTCCCTGATCATTCCTGTCTCATGGCTTACATGTAAGTGATGCCCGAATTCATTTCTCTGACTGAGACCCTCCCAGAGCTCCCAGGTGCTCGCCGGTCTGTGCACAGCTTGCGCCACAGGGACCTGTCTAACAGACACTATTATGCTATTTCCTCAGGCCACCATTGAGCTTGTATTCTTCCTCGTACCAGTAAAGGCAACAACGATGCTCAGTTCAAATCAAACCTGGCCTGAAATACAATTCCTCCAGCTTCCTGCAAATTCTTATACCACCCTCAGGCAAGAACGGTGCCACTAAGCCCCATGCCCAGCCCTCTTGCCACCCGCTATGTTGGCTTTCTTCCAAGGGGCATCTCCAATCGGCCCAGCTCTGCTGCGCCAATCCGCCCAATGTCACCTTTACCAGACTTGGGTGGTTAGCTGTGGCTGCCTCTTGCCCTCTCGCCACTGCACAGATCACCAGGAATCGTCCTGACCGAAAGGTGTCACCCAGTCATTCAGTTGCATCAGGGCCCAGACGGCTCCTCCCTGTGGCCCCCAGGCACAGCACACAATAGGCAACCCAATAGTTGCTGGTGAATGAATGAACTGTTCAGCAAGGAGTAAAAGGAGAGACTGGACTACAGTAGTTGAACACTCTGAAAACCTCGGCTTGAAACTCAGCTCCACCAAGCCAGCGGCTCAGACGCCAGGTACTCACCCTCTCTGATCTCTATCTCCACCCTCATTCAGTGGTGGGACACTATCACTTACCCTGCAGAACTGCCGCAAGGATTAAGTGACCTAAACTGAGATGAGCGCTCTAAAGGCACCAGCAGGTGCCAGCTGCCCCTTGGTTTCCCCGCCTGCGCTGCAGCCAACTTCAAGACTAAACTTGGGCAACATGGTATGCCGTGAAGCCCGGACTCTGGAGGGCTGAGGCAGGAGCATCACGAACTTAAATCAAGCCTGGAAAATTTGGTGATCCAGTGAGACCCTGATTCAAAATTTAAGAAAATAACAATTACAATTATTATAATTTTTTATTAAAAGATATTGAGGATGGAGCTCTGTATAAAGGCCCTAAATTCAATCCCCAACACTAAAATGACAGTAGGTATAAACACAAAAATAAATTACACACAGTGAGGGGTGCTGCTTTAGGAATAACCACCTGAAAAAAATCTAAAAATAAAACTAAAACTCACAGTAGAGCAAAAACTCCTCAAAGCAATAAAAAAGACAATTCCCATCAACTATTCTCTTTTCCATTTTAATATTTGTAAAAAGTGTTTATTCATTTATTTGCTACAGGGTCTCGCTAGGCAGTTCAGACTGGCAGTAATCCTCCTGCCTCAGTCTCCCCAGCGCTGGGCTTACAGGCCTGGGCAACTGTGCCTGGACTCAGGGCTGAACACCCTTTGGTACCAGGGATGAACTCAGGGCCTGGTGCTTGCCAGGCAGGAGCCTACACCACTGAGCTACCCCCAGCCCCTTCTTTTCCATTTCAATTGGTGCACTGAAGCTTTCTAGTGCTAGAAAGTAAGAAGGCACATACCTAAGGGCTATGCCTTCATTAAAGCCCCAAATCTACAATAATCTCATTCCTTAAAAAGAAATGAGCCCCTGGCGATGGGAGAATGGGGGTGGAGGGCAACCATGTACTGAAAGTTAGGAATCAAATGGTTGAACGATAACCCAAGACAGATAAAGCTCAAAGCAGCAATTAGAGAAAATGAAAACCAACCCAGTTTACTGTAACACCCTCCAAGAACACAAGTATCATGGTACAAGGCACTTCCAGTACTTGGATCTAAAGAGAAAGGTAAAATAGAGTACGCAAAGACTAAGTAAGGGACTCTTCGCCTCACCGTGACGCACGCACTTCTCGCTGCTGAGCAGATGCTCTGGCCCGCCCCTAGGCCAGGGAAGCTGGGGTCTTGTGTGCTGGACCCTCTGGCGACTGGGAATAGCCAGGAACAATAAAGTGTGCACAGACAAACTGAGCAAAGACAGTCTCTCTAGGTCTGCACAACCCAGGTGCAGCAAGAAATCTGGATTGGTTTAAAGACAACCCTCCCGCTAGGTGTCCCGGTAAGTCCTGTACCCTGGCAAGACCCCGCCCTCTGTCCGGGAAGAGGCACCTCACCCTTCACACTCCTCCAGTGACTTGGAGCCGCACTCCCACTCTGCTCTCAGCCATAAGTTCCCAGCTGTCTTTGCTGTATTCTCAGCTAAGTACCACCTTGCGCCCCTTTCATGATGCCCTCTGTTATAAACTGTATGCGACTGAACTGTGCTCGCCCAAAATTCATTTGTTGGAACCTTACCCTCAATGTAACTATCTCTGAATACAGGGCTTTTAGGATATAATTATGGTAAATGAAGTCAAAAGCACAGGGCTCTAATCATAGGTGGTCTTAGAAAAACAGATGCTCCATGCACAGGCGCCAAGGAAGAGCCACGTGCGCACATGGAGAAGAGGTGGCAGTCTGTGGCCAGGACGAGAGCCTCCGTGAGAAGCCATCCATGCAGGCGGACTAAGCTCGGAAAGCCCTCCTGGTCCCAAGACCACAGGAACTGAGCTGCTGTCCACACTCCCTGTCATGCTGCAGCACAGCCCTACTGCAGCAGCTGTGAGGACAGTACTTCTTACCAATCTAAAATGCATCAGCATGTTTTTTTTACAACAGTAGAAATGAAATACTCATCGGAAACTACAGAAGATAAAATGGAGTCAAGCTTTCTGACATAAGAAAAAAGAAAAAGTAAGGAAGAAAAAGAATGTGGAGGAGGAAAATAATGTGGGCCAGGAAGATGGCTCAGTAGAATAAGCACTTGCCTGGCAAGTACAAGGTCCTGAGTTCAATCCCTGGTACTGCCAAAAAAAAAAAAAAAAAAAAAAAAGTAAATAAAATGAATTGACACCAAAATATCAGGAAAAAAAAAAATCCTTCAGCTCCCAAACAGAAAGAATGCTTTGAAATATCCAAAGAAAATTCACCAGAACTAAGAATGAGTTTCTAAGACTCTGGCTAAAGTAGCCACTACACACTCAAGCAAGCAGGAGACATACAGGCAGTCAACAGCACCCTCAGGACGCCAGAGAGGTGAGAAAGAAAGATGCAAGAGCAGGAGCCAAAGGTCATATTTACAACAGCTTGCTAAGTCAACAAAGCTATGTTTCTAAAATCCTTTTTTTTTTTTTTTTTTTGTATCAGGTATTTAATTAGGTTCTTAGTAAGAAATTTAGAACACTAAT